TGTGATGACAAATGGGCTAAAGCCCAAATAACTGTTTTAATATTCTAGGCTCTTGCCCAATAACTTGACCCTGATCCACCCCGGCCCAAAGGTAGATAAAAACGTGTTTTTTGGCGTGGCGTTTTTAACGCAGCCAATAAACACGTTTTCTTCAGATTACTGAAAACCCCCTGATCGTTGGATTAAAATCTGATCTATGGTTGCCTTGGTTGGATATATATACTTCCACCTCTTGCCCTAATTCAACTGGACCGTCATTTTACTTCTCTCTTCAGCTGCGGCTGTGCTTCGAGATCCTTCTAAACCCTTCCTTCTTCGTGACCATCCAATCTCTAATTGGATCTGAAATCTGAGTGATTCTTTCTTTGTGATACTAAATACTAAGTGTATTGGAGGGATTGGTGTGTGATTTACCCTTGTGGTTTCCTTTAATCTGATAGAGGAAAACCTTAGGGTTTGGGACGATTCGTGTGGGTTATACAGACGGGTACAATTCTATATTTTCTTGAGTCTGAGCCCCATAGATGAAAGGACCTTCATCTGGATGCCGTGTGCTTCGAGTTTCAGTGAACGGCTGAGGATTTGTTCTTCTGCTATTTTTCTTGTAATATTTTTCTTGTTTATTTTCTGATTTTGTACTGATATCTTGGTGTAACAATAATAGTTCACAAAAAAACATGTAAAATATGTTATGCACCATGGCCTCTGAATGATGTATATCTATGCCCAAAATTTACGAAATTTCAGAAATTGCCTATACACATAATGAAATATATACACCAAATATAAGAGTTTGAATTACTCGCCTTAATAAATTTAGACCTTTTAAATAGAATTCCAAATTGATCGTATGAATTATCTTCTGCTCGTTCCATTGTTATATCTGTTAAAATAATCATGACTTAAATGTTAATTTGTGTTTGCCTATTATCTTTTTAAGATTACTACTATCACATTTATATGTGAACTCATAACATAATAATGTGCATGTTTGATGTAAATTTATATTAAATAAATCTAATAAAAGTTGGTGGATTCTATGAGATGTAAGGTTAAAAAAAAAATTTATGGATGAAATAAAATATATGATTAAAATAAAGTTTGACTAATTTTTATTTATTATTATTATTATTACTACGAAAAGTAGCTATATCAAATAATCCCTCCAAACATATTCCAACCAGTCAATAGCCCTCTTATTTGACCTTGAAGCGAAATCATGTCCATTTATTGACAGCCCATGTCTCGTAAGGGTTGGGTAGGGTCGGGGTCGTGTCGGATCGGGTGGGGCTTGTCTTGTTTTCCAACTGAAATAGTTATTGGGTCTTCCTCTTTACTGGTTAGTGATTATGAATTAAATGCATCTACGTTATTCCTATTATTTTACAATGTAATATAATTTATTTAATTGAACATATCAAATTAAATAAAATTATTTTTGTTAAATGTAGTAAATTGCAGTTGGTGGTATAGGGACTGTGAGTAATGAATGTGAGGTTGGCCAACTGTTGTTCTCGTGCAGAATTATATAGTCACCCCTCGTTTCTGGGATAGCTATCGACAAAATTTCAAAACGGACAGAAAATAAAAAAATAAGTCCCCAACTATTAAAATCTAAATTTTAATTTAAGTCAAAATCAATAATTCATTTTAATCAAATATTTGATAAGATCTAAAAATTTTAACCACACATTACATTAATTTTATCATAAAATTTACGAAAAATCTGATTTTAATCTTCATCGAACAGGGGTTATATAATATGAATCATGCTATTGGTTGACAATATCCTATTTGGCACTATCATATTCATCTATTTTAAAAATTGTTTTCTACATATTTGGATTTTGACAATACATTATTACACTTAGCCTTGTTTGGCCCCTATTTTTTCAAATTTTAATGTTAGAAATAGTATTTTTTGAAGAATGTATAGTTAAAAAGGAATGAAAATTTTTCGATTTACGTGTAATATGATTTTATGGAAGATTGTATGTTTAAAAATAAGAAAGAACAAAAAATGAAAGAGAATAGGAGCTAAACGAGGTACGTAGCTCTATTCATATCATATTGATTATTTATTGGTGATTTTTTTTTTATAACTCAGGTGTCCAAGTTTCGCCTGATTAATCTTGAGAAGTGTCGGCATTTCCCTCTGATTCGCCACTCAAAACATAGCTTATACACACTGTGACTGGACATTCGGGATGCGATTCTCCTCCTGTAGACCTCCCCTTACGACAAGCGGACAGGACCCTTAGAAGGGCGACAAAACGCACCATAACTTTGCCTCCACAGGACAACTGTCTTCTAATATAAATATTACCTTCTAATTATCACGGGAATTCGAACTTCCGTTGTTCCGTATAGAATCCTCATACTTTACCACTGCGTCATGATCGCCCATGGGGGCAATTATTTGTTGGCGATTGACTTGGCAGAGGGAGGATCAATGAGAGTAGAGTAATGTTTCACAAAAATTTTATAGATTTCACGTGGCACAAATTTCATTGACAGATAATAAAAAAAAAAGAAGCAAAAATCCGATTTTTTTGGAAGAATCCCTGTAGTTAGGGATTTTTCCTTGTTTTTGTTAGGCGTGTGACTGGGTGCCACTTGTGATCATCAGTAGGGCCCACCATTAAATACCATATGTATTTAATTCTTGATAGTTATGTTTGATTTTCAATTATACCCCCACTTTTGGCTGGATATGTGCATGTTTTGCTTGGGAAAGAAGGGCAAAATTGATAAATTGAAATTAAAACCCATTAATATTATGGTTTCATACCACTTTCTGTGCCTGACGAAATGGAAAAAGAACAAAACCAAAAAATTTCGACGGAATTATCATAATTATGTTACAAACACAAATTGTTCGTAGCGAAAAATAAACAAAAATAGATTAACGCTTTGAAATTTAGAAAAAAAAAAAGCGTATAGCTTCAATTCAAAAGTGAATGAAGAGATAAGAGAAGACCTTAGGAGTGAAAGAAAAGAATTGTTCGCTATTTTGGGTTCTAGACTCTTCACAAATCTCACGGTATATGAGAGTTATTATTATTATTTTTTTAATTTTCTATTTAAATTTTTCACCAAAAGTCATCAAAAGTCTAGTAGGTCGAGAATTTCTTAAAATAATTCTCAATTTGAATACTTTATGATTCAAAGAGAAATTTAAAAAGTTTTAATTGAATATTTCATGACTTTTAAAGACTTCATTGAATATATCAATACTCTTAGAAAATCTTAAAATCTATGTTGAATACTCTTAAATTCTCCAATTCTTAAAAGTCTAAAAGTCTCAATTGATTATGCCTCTTAATTTTTGAAACTAAACTAAACAATTCGATCTTGGTAATGGATCCGATCCTGATCTTATAACATTGGTAAGATTCGAATTGAATTGGTCACGACTTAATTGTAGAATGTAGGGATAGATTGTATTTGTCATATAACAATAAATTAAACTAGACTTGTGTTAACCAGTTCGACCCAACTGATCAGTTCAATAAGTATCGATTTGAGTTGACCTGTCTTCACAAACTCCATGTATCATTTTTTCTTGTTTGGTGAAAATTAAAATTAGTTTTTTAGTAAACTTTGAACGTGTAGTTGAAAAATTTGAATTCTATAAATGGTATGATTAATTTAAATTTAAATTAAAATCTTTCTATGGAAAGTGGCTATAGATCTTGTCATCGAACATGTCCTAAAAGATGAAGAAAGCAGCATAGAAAGTCTACTTTTCTCTCTCAGCAGATTGTTTGTGGTGTCTGTCAAACTACCACGGCCAAACCCTTCCAAGGAAAATCCACTTTTTCTTAAGCAGTAAGGTGGTAGAAACTGTAATTTCCCTAAAATCCAGGCTCAGTGTTATAGCCCTTGTAGACCCCACTCCATCTTCCTCGGTTCCATCGACAAACACTAGAAAAAACTCAGACGCACACCAAATTACAGGCAGTGTGAAATACCTGTGGCATGAAATCTTTGTAACATATAAACCCCCAAAAAGAAAGTGAAAATTTTGATAATAAAGAGCACAATGCTGTTGAGAGGAGGGGCATTTTCGGCATGCAATGCTGCCATAAGCGAAAACCGGAACACTTTCGGATTTTCCAATTTAATTCGCCGGCAAAATGGGAATGGATTCGTGTCGTGCAATTCTTCGGGCCGGGCTCGGAAGGGCCAATTGTTCATGATTCTGGCGGTGGCCACTGGCGAGGCGAAAACCAAACATCAGGAGTCGAGCCACGAGCCGACACTGGCGGATCGGCTCCGACTTGGCAGCTTGGCTGAGGACGGCTTGTCGTATAAAGAAAGGTTCATAGTGAGGTGCTATGAGGTTGGAATTAATAAGACTGCTACCGTTGAAACCATTGCCAATCTCCTGCAGGTTTGTGTAATTCAGAAATTGAATTGTAAGAATTGCATTTCAACTGCTGGCAATTTATCTATATATTTTTATATTAAATTATTACATGGGTTTTAGAAGTGGATTTGTTAATGCACGTCTCTTTTTGTGTAAATTTGCTAATTTAACAAGTTAATGATTGTAAATTCGTGGAGGTTTGGCAGTGAATTGTTCATGTATGCCTCTTTTAAGGATAAAGATTGGAGATTTATGGTGTTCTAGCCGTGGATTTGATAATGCATGTCTCAGTTTATGTATAAATTTCTATAGCCAAAAGTGTGAATAGTTGGCATTATATGGAAAAATTATGAAGCTCCCCCC